TCCTTACTTTTTCTCTCTGATTAATTTAAGTAGATTACTTAATAATTAAACTCTGTAATTTTACATATAAACTAATATTTAAGTATAAAAGTTGTAAAAACTACAATCACATTAAAATGAACGAAAATAAATATAGATTTGGTAGACTTTTTTTGTGCAGTAACAGTCTTATTTTCTTAACTCTTTGAGGGGCTAGACATTCCTAAATTTCTAGGCTAAGCAAAGTTCTAGACAACTGAATCAGACAGTTACGTTAATTTAATCATATGGCCTATCAAGATTCATTCTTTGACATACTAACCAATTTAAAAGATAATTCCTCTTTCTTGGACATTTCCTAGAAAATTGTAATAATGCCCCACTAGGCATGTTCAAAAAGTGGGACAATGCGTGTCCCATCGCTCCTCAAAGAGTTAAGTAATATTAATGTTTTTCTTGTTAAGTAATTTACTAACATGTCTTTAAATTCTTCACCGTATAGAAAATGATCTATATAACCTTTAATTTTTGTTTCTCATTTGGTATTTAAACGTAACAAATCTGTATTTGGTATGTGAAAACTTTATTTATGCGGAGAAATTCTATAGGAGACAAGCTAAAATTATGTGCAAATATCAAATAAGTCTTATGGACGAAGTTCACGATTGTTTCCTGGTGAAATTTTCCAGTTATCACCTAAATCGTAAGCAATATAATAGTAATATATCGAAAAAAAGATCCGTTTAGTTATATAGATTTTTATTTATTAATTAATTACAAAATTGATATTATTTTCAATTTATTGATACAGCATAAATTAATCATATAAGCTCAAAATAAAAAGATTATTACATTGAAATCTAACCCTAATTTCACGTAATTTAATAAATACGTCATATTATACAGTTTAAATATTTTATACGTTACTTATTGATTAATTCCTTTTCTCAAAAAAATAGTTCAACAATTTATTTTATATAAGAAACATTTAATATGTTTACTAGCTTACATACAATATATGAATATGGGTTTTTACAAAACATGCGCAAAACTATTCCTAAACAATATATTTTGCACATTATACATGTTGATGTATATAATTATTGTTAGAATATACAAAAAAAAGCATAATTTGGATCTAAAATAAAAAAGAAGATGAAATGAAACACTATAATATAAATTGAAAAATAAACCCTAAATAGAAAAAACAAGTCTAAATATGTGTAACTTCTCTATTAATTACAAAAAATGGAAATAAATCTGACCATAGTGTCACATTTTGAATTTATCGACAATATAATATGAATAAAATCGATATTCTATTTAAAATATCAATATAAAAATGTCTTCTTAATTCTAACAGTAATAATATAATAAAAATAAAGAAATATACATAATAACTTCATATAAATTAAAAGAAAAGAAGATATATTGCACAAAATCTTTCCAATTAATATATTTCGATACACAAACAAAGAAATTTGTTTTATGTGCGTTTGAATTATAAAAAAAATATAAGAAGGTTTGATTTTTTTTATGTTGTATAATTTTATTCACAATCTTTTCATAAATCTGAACATTGAGTAAATTTAAGATCGAGGTTGACATTAAATGGATAATCTTTCCCGGTGGTTAGTTACCATTATGATGATTTGATTTTTTTAATTTGTTGGTTGGCTGTCGTCTTGTAGGTTAACTTCAGTAGTATATTAATGCTCTGCGATTTCACTATTTCATTTGACAGTGAATCTGCTGCAATCCTTAACTCTGTCAGTGTCCATCGACTTGGCTGAAGGTCCATATGCTGAACCTCATTCATTTGACTGTCCATCTGTGATGACCGATGACTCTATTGCTCACAAAGAGCCTGGCTTGACCAGGATTCGAACTGGCGCCCACGAAATCGTGGTTAGAGTGACTTAACCATTCGGTTATTAGTCGCCCTTTTGATTATTTAAATAAAATGTTGTTAAAAATTAAAAATTAATTTAATCCTTGGTATTTTAAATGCATTTTATACTAAAAACCGTTTTTTTTTTTAAGAAATCAGCTGAACTAAGCAATTTTATCTAATTCAGCGATTTTCATTTAAAATTTAATGCAATTCATTATGGGTAACTACAAAGGTTGAGAAACGCTGGTCTTTTAATCATTTATTTGTAAAATTTATATTTTAGAAGAACATTAAAATAAACTATCTATTAAAAATTCAATTAACGCTAATGTTCATAGCAGTCCATGCCAAAAAAAAAGAAATAGACGAATATAAAATGTGTAAAAAGGACAATTATGCAGTATAGTCATGTTTATTGCATTACATATTTATTATTACTATAAATAAACCACTAAGGACATATGTTTTGTTGAATTTAAAAACATTATTTATGACTACAACATACATTAAAACCGTATTTCAAATTAACATTTCTTAAATCTATTCACATATAACATTTCAATTTGAGCTACTCTATTTTAAAACATTATATGTTGATTCTAATCAATAATAATATCTAATTATAATTTTTTATAAATGTTATAATTACAAAATTTGATTAAGTGACTACAGAATTTGAATCCAGATTTATGAACTTCATATTCATATTGTCATGTCTTTACTAACTAAATTAAATGGAAATAAACCACACAAAAAGATACTTGACTTTATAAAAGGCAAACTTCCAACCATTTTTTTTAAATATATTTGAATTTAGCTAAATTATAATTCAATTTGTTTTGAAATTTAAAAAATAGGACTATAATAAATCTGGACTGATTGAATCCGCACTATTCGAGATATTTACAAAATAAGATTTTCTAGGATTTTTCAAAATTTGAATAAAAAATAAAACTTTGTGCTGCATCTTTGTACTGAGTATATAATGTAATATTCATAGTTATTATCTTAATTTTTTTTTAATCTAAAATTACGTGATTCTTGAGGTTATTAATTGATACATTAAACTCAATGTATTAGTAGACAAATATATAGATAAAAAATAGATTTATTTGGGTGATGATTTAATGTGATTTGTACTAATTATAAGTTTCCTATAACGCGTTTTAAATATTACTCTATACTAATTAATTGGGTGGTAGCAGGATCTATAAATAATTAAATATCAATATTTTTCATAAATTAGAAATTTTCATTTATTTTAGTATTAATATACTGACCATGGTGATGATTACAAAACAACTGAAATTATGGTTTAAATATATTCTTTTCTTAGAAAACATAGGAAAGCAAATAAAATAAAAATCAAGGAATATTATAAATGCTGGAAATAATATATAATAAATGCACAAATTGATAATCATGTGTTAACTATGACCATCTTATATTTTAGAAGAACATTAAAATAAACTATCTATTACATCTTGAATATTTTTGCAGAATTTATAGAAGTATATTCTCTAAAAAATAATCAATGCATTTATTAAGAAATTAATTCGTTTTAAAATATATTTTTAAGTTGATCATTTCCTTGTTACCATAATTCATATAAACTTGGTTTCAGTATACTTAAAGTTGTTTCAATTATAAACACTTTTTCATATCATAATTTTGCATTATAGTAAAATTTACAATCACTTTTCATTCAATGATTCGAAATATCTATATGCCGTAGCAGAACGTTGCAGCAGCATCCTCGCATTATTATTATTAAGTATAATAAACAATGTTCTCAACTTTCTCAACTAATGCGCGGTGAAAGTTGAATGAAACGAAACGTAAAGACAAAATCGCCTCGACGATGTCCAGGGTTTCAGAACTCCTTTTGTCAACAGCGTAAAGAACCTTTGCAATTAGCATTCCGTAAATTACCAAACATCATTTGCATTCCCATTAAAAAAAAGCGAACGTATTTAGAAATCGTTCATTGTGTTTGCTTCCACTTGATTCATACATCTTTTGCAATTTAGCACATTCGTTTTACATCGGAAATTCCCTTTTCGACTGGATCTAATTAAGTTGCTATCAAAGTACATTTATATAACGTGTTAATTACGTATGTTTTATGTAATTATTTTAGTAAGTAATTCTACATTCTGGGGACATTTCTAGCGAATTAAATAACTTTGTAAATAAGAAAAAGTGATAAGATATTTATATTAAAAATTATTTAATTTGTTTATTTTTATGTGATATATTTATTTATTTTTATGTGAAAAAAAACAAGTTTTTTTTATATGCTTGAATTGTAATAAAGCTATTTTTATTTATTTAATATTTTCATTGGCTCTTATTTGAATCAAATATATTTCTTATATTCTTGACCGAACGTTATTATTGATTTTATATTCATCGAAATATATCCAAAATATACTCATTACACAGTGAAATAGTATAAATTATAAATAAATTGTATTATACTGATAATTTTCTATTGAAGGCACTGTATAATTATGTTCAATGATAAATGAAATAAGTATAATAATATTAGACATTGAAATACCCAATTAATTTGCATATCGAATTACTGCAGTTGCATTTGCCTTCGATCTATCATTAAAGTAATACCATAGTGAAAAATCCATAGTAAATGATTATAATTACCATTCCTTTTTATGTGTTTAGTTACTAATTACCTTCCTGTTTACTATACGTATAACAACTAATTTCATTCCTTTCCGGATGTTGCGAAGATGATTCGAATCACGACACGGCACTTTCAAAATAAATATTATTATATAAAAAAAGACTGAAGCCAGTGACTCAATGTCTGCTGTTATTTTCTTGTTCAGAATTGTCTAATTGCAGATGCAATTGCATGTCGCAAAAAATGTCTCGCTAGATTTTCATGGTAGAACGATGAGAATGGTGAAAAGCAAATATGAATTAATGCGATGCTGATGATAATGATGATGATGTCGGTGTCAGTTGATGATGGGATGGGATGCACGGGAACTGGGGAGATGACATCGGAGAAAGGGGAATCTCCCCATGAGCCAATGGCTTTGTTTTTGTATATAAGAGAGCCGAAAACGGCTCACAAGTCAGTCACCTTTTAGCATCTAAGATGAAGGTAATACAGCACTAACTATTATTCCGCTATTATTCTCCCAAATAATAAACTAAGAGAAAGTATACGCATACACTAAAGATGCACCGGATTATAAATATTCTTGTGTAATCAGTGATGAATCTTCTTAAAACACCAAGTGATATTTCACGGATAAATCGTGTCTATTTCAATAAATATAAGAAGTGTTGTTATAACTTTTAGAATTCAATATTATATTCATTTTTTACTGAATCTCAAACAAGGAATAAGCAATTCATAATCATTTATTTCATTTTTTTGTTACAGGTGTTCGTTTGCTTGTTAGCATTGGCCGCAATGACAAATGGTAAATACTTTAACATTATGTATGAAAATTTTCTATTCATTAGAAAGTTCTCCATATTTGGTTATCACCGAACGCAGTTGCATTTTTTACGCCTGTTGTTTTCATCTTCGCGTTAACGCTTACAAACAGATTGTATAAAATTTATATTCAACCAACCATTTGAACAATTCCCAATAAATTATTATAGTCAATTACATCGTATATGCAATATATTAGTTAGTATGGAATATAATATTGACTTTATTCTAGTTTTCAGTCAATAAATTTAAATATTATATGAAACAGATATAGATAACGTTATTTCTATACATACAGGGAATCTTGGCAATTTTAGTAAGAAGTTTTTCAGTAATTTATTTGGTTTTAAATTGTGACTTAAAAGGTATTATATACAAATGTAGTGATTTCTAATGTATTTATTTCCATACAATAAATTCTTCGATCTGACAACTGTGAGAGAATAGATGATGTGAACTAGTGTATGGGAATTATAACAGGAAATATATATTTAAAATAAATCTATATCTTCACTTTTCATTCCTATTTAAGATCAGTGTTGAGCAAAATTTAATTATTTATTATTTTTTTGATAGAAAATTTAGTATTATATTTTTTAACATAGATAAAATTTGAAATTGTTAAAATATTGATATGGATCTCTGAATACTGTGGTCAAACATTTAAATAATTAAAAAAAATAATAATTATTTCGAAGCTTTGATTTCAAAACAACTTACGATGAAGAAATTATATCTGCATTATCCTTGCAGGTAACATTAAATATGATATTAAAGTATTATTATTGTTTCAATAATTCGTAAATTTTCAATTACATAGGAATCGTAAAGACAATTTATGTGCACTAAATGTATTTTCTTTCTAGCCGGATACATAAGTTCCGGATGGTCTAGCGGAGGAGGCGGTGGTGGATGGTCCGGAGGTGGAGGAGGAGGCGGTTGGAAGTCCGGTGGCGGAGGAGGTTGGTCAGGAGGTGGCGGCGGCTGGAAATCCGGAGGAGGTGGTGGTGGATGGTCCGGTAGCGGCGGCAGCGGTGGCGGATGGATCGGCGGAGGTGGAGGAGGTGGTCACGGTGGAGGCGGCGGCGGATGGATCGGCGGTGGCGGAGGAGGAGGCGGCGGCGGTGGACAAGTGGTGAAGATTATTAAGATCATCGTTCCATCCGGCGGAGGCGGCGGCGGTGGCCATGGAGGAGGCGGCGGCGGATACGGAGGAGGCGGTGGATACGGAGGAGGAGGCGGAGGCGGACACGGAGGATGGTCCGGTGGAGGCGGAGGAGGCGGTGGCCACGGTGGATGGTCGAGCGGTGGCAGTGGAGGCGGTGGCGGAGGATGGTGGTAATACTCCAGATAGTCAACTTATAAGTATTCCCGGTGATATTTAAGAGCTACTGAAAAGGAATAGGGAATTCAACCTTTTTTTCTTATTTTTGTTTGTTTATGTTTCATACTGTAAATACTTTGTAAAATAAATTTTTATTACACAAAATCTTTTAATTTGACTTAAATAATATATGTCCATACAACCCCTAAATTATACTGGTTCAATGACCTTTTAATTTTCTATCATTAATTCCTAATAAACAAAATAAACAACAATTTGCTAGAGAAGAGATGAATTTATTTTTTGAACTAGCTACAATGTGTGTCAAACTACTCAAAAACTTAGTAAAATAAAATCTACAGAAAATTATTCATGTGAAATACTGACGTTTGAATAAGATTTAATTTCAAAGAGATAAGAAAAAATAAAGATGAAGTGATTAAAAATATAAAAATGTTTAGATTAGTAAATAAATATTGATAACTACATAACTATGCGGCAGGCGGTGACTTTTCAACCTGAGGATGCTGTACAAAAAATTCACTGAGTAGATATAAATTCAATATAATTTCCCCTATTCTTTAATTCGTGATGCTCAAAATGACGTCGTAAAATCAGAATATCAGAATATCCGAAAATGAGAAAACAAAATGCATGGCGAACAAAATAATTTTGATTCACAAATCCAAGCAATTTTTTCGTAAATTTATCTATTAAAATCTCTTAAATTTTTTGTTTGAGACTGAATATTTAATATTGATGCAGGCTTCTGTCTTTTGCCAATAATCTTCAATTAAACAATTGTAATTAGCCTCAGTGGTCAATCCACCTTCATCCTTTCTTTGGTTTTCCATATTAAGGGCAATAATAAATAATAATTTTCGGCAATTTTAAAGTGCTAAAAAACATACAAGTTTGGAAGTCGCGCTCACTCATAAAATATTACATTTTGCAATATGCCATCCTAGTCAAAAAGGTTATCGAACCCTGCACTACACCATAGCACCATGCCTGCCATCAATTAATAATCCTCCAGTTCAAAAGATGCATGCATTCGTAAAATCCTCCATCTCTACTTGAAATGGATTTGCATGATGTTATATAGGCATTGTTTGTATTTTTTACATTTTAAATATTGTCAAAAATATTGAAAATTCAATGACATCGTTATACTTTACATAAATAAAATGTACACGGTTTTCAAACAATAGTTACGAGCACATGAAACAGAATCTAAAAATATGATAAAAGAACATCTGTTGCCATCTATTACAAGTAAATTTTCAATAACAAAAAACAAAGAAAAACAAGATTACAACATACCAACATACTCTTCAATATTGTATAGTCAAAACATGGTTGTCACAACACAATAAAAATTACAATTATTAATCAATAATTAATAGTTTATTTTTATAATTTCACTAAAATTACATAAATTTGGAATTACAATAAAGTTTTTAAAGAATAAATACAATCTGCAGAGAAATTAACAAAAAAATAATAAGAACTATACATAATAAAATAATGCTTTTGCGATACACTTTTCTTTATTCACAACATATAATGTAGGCTTCCGAGTGTATTAGAAATGCTATTATTGATATGTCGCGGTGCGTTCATTATTATTACGTAAATCAGTCATTTTTCCACCGAACGCGATGATGTAATTTATATTATATCTGATCTTCAATTACCCATTTATGGATGCAATTAATATTGATCGTTCGTTTTTATTAATGTACGTGACAAAATCTGTAATGTTTTAACATCTAAATAAGATAACCGCATTAACCATTTAAGTCCATTTAGGATTTTCAAGTAAAGGTTATTTTTTGTACAAGTTGCGACCAAATCGAGTTAGTCGTTTATCCGGAAACGAGATAAATATATGTGAGCAATTATTTTGCAATACTTTATTTTCTTTGTGTCAATACATAGAGTTTGTAAATGGTTTTGAAAAGCAAATGTATGATTAGAGAATGCTTGAAGCATATTTATTTCAACTCTTAATTGCTTGATGCGCAACTCCGAATGTGTTAATTACACTAATCAACGTGGACTTTTGATATTATGAAATGTGCATTAATACGTTTTTTTGTTGCTATCTTCCCAAAACTAATTAAAGGAACTGTCACATAATTTACTGCAGTGATTGCATAGTGACGATTCAGTAAATATGAATAATAAAAGAATGGAAAGCGCCTCCTTCGAAAACCAATGTGTCAACATTCCCACACCTACGCTAAAATGTTTATTCTACTTTTGCAATCTATTAAAATAGAATGAATACTCTGGAAAAAGGAAAATTATTGAAATTACCATTGCATTTTTATTACTCGTCAGCTTTCTTGCCAAGATTTTGTTCCTTGACCAACTTATCGACCATAGGATGTGAATATAGTAAAATCCATTTTATAGACCAATCATCAATTCAAATTTTCAATTTAACCATAACTATGAAATTATTTTATTTGACAAAATATTTAAATATTAGAAAATTAAATTATGTTATAAACTTGAAATTATGATACGATGTCAATAAAAATAGTTATTATTAATAAAATGATGGAAATTAGTATATAACTAAAGTAGTTCCAAAAAAAGTCTAATAATTATGTGTAAATAAAAAAAATCGTATGCATACAATTTTACATGAACTTAACTTAATTCATAACTTCGTGATCTATGATCATTTCCTAGTAAAAATGTTTATTTGTAGACATTTCAAATACCAAAATTTACTGATAAATAATATTAAAAATTATAATATTTACAAGTAAATGGTATTGCATTAATATCAAAAGAAAATACAATAACTACATAAAATCTTTGAACAAATTATTTGAATTGCATTATTGTCTAGCAGTTGAAAAAAGAAGGAACTTAATAATTTTCATATTGGATATTTGTTTTATGATTTTTTTTTTCATAAATTAGAATATTTAAATACATCTTGCTGCATGAAAAAGACCAAACTGAGCTAATTAAAGACAATGCAAGAGTTGATATAACGTAATACTCATAAAAGCAGAAATGCAACGAATCAAGTAACGCAACATCATTATCATAAATTTATTCAATTGTAAAACTTAAATATATACTTAAACTTTCTATTTTTAATCTCAGTCTTTTTTGTTCACATGAAATATACAACTTTAAATTAAAATTGACAGGAAATTTAATTTCCGCTCAGTTTTAATTACTTAAATGTTTAATATGTTATATTTTTTTGTCCATATTAATATTAGATTAATAAATTGACACGATATATTTGTATACAATCTATTTCTTTTAAAGAAAGGTGATTACATAAGCCAAGTATAGTGTAAATAAAACATTTCCTTATTTGAAAAAAAAACTGTACGTAACAAGATCGCTGCGAATCTAAGAGCATAGAGAGCAATAAGATGAAACCAGTTTGACTGTACGTGTTTTTTTTTTGTATTAATCGAACACCTTATAACTTTCCAATAAAATTACTTTCAATTTCCGTTTCGTTCTGAAACAAATATATTTATTATAATATCAGGGCGGAAAAATTGCCGTCAATTTCCCATTGTATGTATGTACAAATATGCAATAAATTATGTTTATTATAAAATCAAGCTCAAATTAAGGCAAATATAAATTTGCATTAATTATGAATTATAATTCTGTAATTAATTTCTGTAATCTAATTTTTCATATTATTTTCACGAAAATATCTCCAATTATTAGTAGTTTGTATTATTTTATAAGCTTTGTTTTAAGAACATGTAAATAAATTCAATAATAAAAATATTTAATTCAAATTAGAATAACAAACTAATGAAAAAAGAAAAAAACAGTCTGGAAATATTCCCACAGTAAATGAAATATAATAATAATATACATACAATTGCAGATACACTAAATTAGAACGTTGCGCCAAAATCCGAATGAATTATTGTTTGTGTTTGATTACAATACTTTTTTTAGTGCACAGTGAAATATGTGTGAGTATTCCTCCTTTGTTTGGTTACGAAAAACCTGTACTGCTTCTTTCATGGCTAAAGTATAATTATATGTGATATAATAACGTTAAAAGCGAAGAGATCGAGCGATGATGAATCCGTCCGTGCGGGGGATTTGGAGAAAGGGTATTTGGGTACTCCAAGGTTCGCAGTTTTGGTATATATAAGATCCGCAGCAGGGTTTGTTAAGTCAGTCACCTTTTGTGTATTTTAACATGAAGGTAAATACATCCACTACACACCATTCGATTTGTTTATAAAGTCTTTCTTCATTAACACTTTACATTGACTTTCGAAGTGCAACAAAGTTTATTTTGTGTTTCTTTTGTGAACATTAATCTTATAACTTTTTGTGATTAACAAATAGTTATTTCATGAAGATAGTTAATTTGGTCAATACTAACAAACAATCTCATTTGATTTGCTAAAAAATAAACATGAGACAGTGTAATGAGACGAAAACAACAATTTAAATCTTGTTTGGAAACAAAATCTAATGAAAGTAGAATACAAATTGTTGCAATTATTGCAGACGCTTGAAAAAATCAGAATTGCACTATTTAAATTCAAGGAATATATAATCTCTTAGTAACTTAACATTTTCATCATTTTCAGGTCTTCGTTTGCTTATTGGTATTAGCCGTTGCTGCAGCCCAAGGTAATTAATATCTATGAAGTTATTATCATGTTTTCTCATAATTAATTATTGTAATTCAATTTTAGCTGGCTACATCAGCTCCGGCGGATGGTCTGGGGGCGGCGGCGGCGGTGGTTGGAGGTCCGGCGGCGGCGGTTGGTCTAGCGGCGGAGGCGGCTGGAAGTTGGGCGGCGGAGGTGGTGGATGGTCCGGCGGCGGTCTTGGAGGCGGCGGTGGATATGGAGGTGGATACGGAGGCGGCGGTGGATACGGAGGTGGTAGCACTGTGAAAGTGATCAAGGTTATCGTACCATCCGGCGGCGGTGGCGGCGGATTCGGCCACGGAGGCGGCGGTGGATTCGGAGGTGGTTATGGAGGCGGCTATGGGGGTGGCTGGAAATCCGGCGGCGGGGGCGGTTGGTCTTCCGGTGGCAGCGGATGGAAATCCGGCGGTGGCGGCGGATGGTGGTAAACCACAAACCACTTCATATGATGCCCCCAACTTCTTGCGTGATATTTAAAAAATTATAAAAAAAAATAATCAAAGAAATACGAATCAATGAACAGCACTTTTTTCCTTTTCTTTCAATTTTGTCTTGTAAATACTATGTAAATGATGTAAAATAAATCTTTTTGTATCATTAAAATATGTTAACTTTATTCACCATAAAACGACCATTATTTGATAAAGTTTAAATTGGCGGAACCGCCGGGTATATATATGCAAATCAAAGTGCGCAGATAAAAGCTAAAGCTGTTGTTTGTCAAAAATATAATCTGACAAATCTATATTTCTTATTATTATTATTACAAATATGTCCTTCGATGAAGTCTCGATCACCGAAACGGAACTGCGGAATATCTTTCTCACTAGTGCAGAATATGTAGCAAGACATAGACGGTCAACTAGAGTCGGACAGGAAACTGTAGCCCAGATTCCACGAAGAAAAGAAATTAACTACAAGAACGAATTGATGTTATATTTTTATAATGAAATGCTTCAGTATATAGTGGATGAATGGCAGACCGTTTCTCCTCCTATATCAATGGACAGCGACGAAGAAATCGTGAAAAGTAGAGATACTTCAGGGGTTCCTTCAGTTCAAGAAGTTCCGTCTACTGAAAAAAGTACTGATAGTTAAACTATTAACTTATTAAATTATTAACATTTATTTTGTTTTAGGCGATCAAACAATTAATAGTAAAACGTCTAGTAGCAAACTTGCAGCAAAACTTTCCAAATCACAATCTTTAACCAAGAGCGATAAAGGTAGCAGGATTAAAAGTAGCCTTCAAAATTCTCTTCCTGTTATCGAAGAAAATGATAATTCTGTAAATCAAAATAATACACATCAGAAGCTATTGTATAAACTATATATTTTCAGGAGGATAAACCTGAACAATCCGTGTCTTCTTACGATACAATGATGAGTTGGTTCGTGCGAAATGAGGATGAATTTGCTCATATATTATTTAAAAATGGGTGCACTTACATTGGTCCTATTAAAAACAAAACTATGGATGGGAAAGGAATCTTTCGCTGGCCAGACGGTGCTTCTTATGAGGTATTTTATACTTGACACTAATTGTTTATAATACAATACTCCTTCACTCCTATTTAGGGTGAGTTTTGCCAAGGCGAAATGTGTGGGTTCGGAACGTTGATTTATCCAGAAGAAAGTTATTACAAAGGACAATTTTGTAAAGGATATTTACATGGACTTGGGTCGTTTTACCCAAATAATTCAACAATGATTTATAGTGGAAATTGGAAAAGCGGCAGAAAAAATGGTAATCTATGTTAATTATTTCTTAAATGCTAATCAAAAATTAAATATTTTGTAGGTAAAGGGTGGTTGTTTTATGGACCTAGTAACTATTATGATGGAAATTGGTGGGAAGACCGGAAACATGGAATCGGTTTCAGAAAGTACCCAAATCACACAATCTACAATGGTGACTGGCAAAATGGTAAAATTCACGGACTCGGGACAATTTATTTTTACAATAATGATGTTTGTTTCAATAATAAAATACAATACAATAACACTCACATATTCCCAGTTTTACAGAGGTGATTGGCAGGATGGAGTACCGCATGGCTATGGCGAATACACTTGGAACGCTTGTATAACTAAAGGATTAGCTCTTAACATAGAGAACAGCTACCAAGGAGATTGGGCTAATGGACAACGTCAAGGTCTAGGCATAATACAATTTGGCATGGAAGGATCCAAACTCGCATCACATTTCAATAGTAACATGAAAGACGGTGCTGGAATCGTAGTATGTGGTAATGGAATTACAATGGAAAGGAATCCCTTATTCGATCAGGATGCGCCCGTCCATCGATCACGATTTATTTCCCAAAGAATGTCTGTCAATTCGAAAGGATTGTCCGGAACAACGATGCATTTCAAACTTTCCAAGACTAAGGATGATTTGAAAGTAAAATCAAAAATCAAAATGAATAAATTGGAGACAATGTTTCCACACATTGATCCGAAATGTTGCCCTATGGAATTTCCCATCCACGGATCTGGAACAGAAATAGATTTGTCATACCATATATCAAAGCTGGCTGCACAGGTGAACGAAGGTAATCCCCACTTAGAGGACATTAAACTTCCGCAATCCATGTGGAATCTATTTGTTACAAGTAAGGAATCATTAATGGGTGATTGTGAAAATGACATCGAACAACCTTTGGATTGTCTGTTCGAAGAAAAGAAATTGCGCAATAACATATTGAAACATTACTCGCTTTTGGAAAACTTGTACTACAAATATGCAAATTTGACATCCGATAACAGAAGATGCAAACCTGTTATGACCAGATTATTTCTATGGCAAATGTATAGAGATTTTAGGGTCCATAAACACAACATATCTTTAATAACTACCGATGTGCTCTTGCACGACTATGATTACAATGGACTAGAATCGGATCATTACCCATTTGAACCAATCTATTTTTGGCAATTCTTGCATTCTATATTATGCTTCATTTACCATCGATATCAAAGTCAATTATACTTCGAAGAACATCGAGGATCAGGCATATTTGCTCATATGCTACTTGACTTTATCAAAGATTATATAATACCCAACCAAACAGCAAAATTCGAAGGTTCATATTAACAACACAAGGACAAATGTAATTATGTATCTTTAAATGTTCATATTTTAGGGCAATGTTTATTCAAGTATAAAAACTTGCTACCAATAAACGCGATTTATCAACTCTACAGAGGATTAGGAGAACCTCATACGGTAAGAAAGTTGATTCGTCGTTGTTGTGTTCAAAAGTACAAACATCCCGTATGTTATTTATTGGATCCGACTCCAGAGAAATCAGTTGTTATTAAAAATGGAATAAATGCTGTATGTACTGGATCCAATTTCGTATATTTAATAGGTAATAAGTCAATATAAACATTAAACAACAAACAACTTTTAAAAATATAACACTTGACCTTTCAAGATGATGAACCTGATATAGGTGAACCAAATCGCGAACAGCCCGCATATCCTATAGAAAGTGATATGTTCTACAAAGATTTGAAGGTATTTCGCAAATTAGGAATCAAGAAAGCAATTGGGTGTATCACGAAGATATGTCCAATGATTAAATGCGATGGATATTTAGTGAACATTAATTATCAATTAACCTTTCTCGAATTTTATGAAATTTTAGTTGCCTTTGCTGAAAAACTCATTTTAATACACAATCGCAAAGAGAAAGCCAAACTAAAACAATCCGAAATTAGCTTGAAGAAACAGAAGAGTAGCCAACTAACGAAGAAAGGATTGAAGAATAAAAAAGTTGCACAAGTTTAAATGCAAAGCGAAATAATCAATTTAATAATCAATAAATTTAACACAAAAAATAATAAAACAATTTATGATGCTACAAGAGGTTCCGTCTCTTTCCAAAGCCATTCCTTCACATCAGTTTTCCCTTGTTGTTCCAAAATTGGTCCCAAAATATCCCGGCATTTCTTGTGATATCTATTCAGATGACCTAATTCCTTCTCTGTTAACATATCAACTCTGATCATTTTAGTTTGAATTGGCGCCAAAGTAATTGTATCGAATGTCAAATAACCTCTGTTATTGAAATTATGCGGTGGGGTGGCTACTACGATTTCAACAATATCTTCGATTCTAATTCCAAATTTCCCATCTTCGTAAAATCCTGGTTCATTTGAAATGAACATACCAGCTTCTAGACCTGGATCATCCTTAGTTGTTCTCCAGGAAACTTCCATCGGGCCTTCGTGAACGTTCAAATAGGAACCAATGCCGTGTCCAGTTCCATGGGCGTAATCCAAACCGACATCCCAAAGGAATTTCCTTGCAAAAGCATCTAAGCAATTGCCTTTGATTTTAGTCGGAAAAACACTTGTACCCAAATTGATTTGACCTTTAAGTACTCTTGTGAAACACTCTCTTTCGTATTCAGTGGGAGTTCCAAAATGCATAGTTCTGGTAACATCGGTGGTACCATCTTTGTATTGGCCACCAGAGTCGCACAGGTAAATGCAATTAGTTTTGATTTGAATATCAGAATGGCTTGTAGGTTTGTAGTGGATTATCGCACCGTGTGGACCAACGGAGCTTATAGTATCGAAACTGGGTCCAACATAATCGTTTTGCTCAGCTCTAAAAGCTTCGAGTTTGTTTGCTCCTGAAATTTCTGTAATTGTTTCGGAACTAACATTCTTCTCTAACCAGGAGAAATAAGAACATAAGGCGACACCATCTTTTATATGCGCATTCCTCATCCCTTGTCTTTCGACGGGATTCTTAATAGCCTTAAATAATTGCACAGGGGTGTTCTCATCGATTATAGACTTCTTTGGAATTACGCTGAAGATGGAATAATTAGCTTGGTTGGATACCCATACCTTTCCTGCAAGACCTTCCATGTTTTCCTTTAAAACTTCCTTAATTGTATCATAATTTTTAATAACAAATTTTTCATTTCCAACTTCCTCTTTCAGATGTTCCTCAACGGTTGGTGTATATTGCTTTGGGTCCATGAAAACAGTGAAACTATTCTCTTTAATGATGACATAAGAGAAAAACACCGGATTGAATTCAATATCAGAGCCACGCAAATTTAAGAACCAAGCGATTTCATCTAAGAACGTCAGAACAACAATAGACGCGTTTTTCTCTCGCATCTTCTCGCGTACTGCTTTCAATTTGTCGCCGATTTTCAGGCCGGTGTACATTAATGGCAGTGGTAGAACAGGATTAAGAGGGGCTGATGGCTTATTGTCCCAAACCAAATCAATTAAATTCGTCTCAACCGGAATTAATTTGTGACCAGCAGATTCTAATTGCTCTCTCAGTGGTAACCATCTGTTGTAACTTATTAAATTTGGGTCTACACCTACAGTAGATCCACTTGGCAAAGATGTTGACAACCAAGTACCTAAAATAATATAAATCTATATACAAACATAGATAAGGTATTTACAGGCAAAAGTACAAAATATTATACAAAAAAAAATCAAATTTAATTATACATTACTTTGAAAGAATTATATTAATTAGTACCTTGAGATGGAGTTGAAGGGACACCCTCCTTCATCAGTTTCCAATTGGAATCCATCTCCTCTGAAGCTTGCAGGTAGTACCTGCCATCTGTCCACATGCAAGCATGATTTTGTGTTACAATTGCAGTTCCAGCAGATCCAGTAAAACCAGAAATGAATGCTCTCCTTTTATCACATTCTGCCAAATATTCACTAGCATGGGCATCTGCTGATGGTACAATATATGCACTCAAAGGCTCTTTCAATTTCTGCATGTGAGCCCGAAGGCTCAACAGCAGAGCTGTTGTAGATTTGGGTTGTGACATATTGACTAACTCCTACAGCAAATGAGAATGTTATTTATATATTGTTCAAGTGTTTGATAAAATAATGATAAGTTCATATCATGTTATTCAATTAAAATTTCCCACCTTTGATAAAACGCTCGCAAGCGTAATTTAATATCACGTTTCAAGCAAATTGTTAATATAAAAAAATATTTGTAGACTGATGATTAAAAATGACAGAGAACAACAGTGGATACATTGACAGCAAGAAGTAAGATGTTTCTATTTTTACATTTGTTTACTCGAAACGTACTTAACCCATGTATTTTGATAAACAAGTTCAATACAATATCGTAATGAAAATATCCACAAAATACAATTGTAATAACTTCATATCCTGCATATTACTTTCCATCCACTTACCAATATGTATATTTGGTTGCGTGTAACTATAAAATTTAATATTGATATATGAAAATAAGTAGAATAATAAAACTGCTATTCATTTAAATTAAATAAAACAAGTTGAATTACAAGTTTTTTTAAGTCAAACACTATTGCCAAAACAATGGAATAAGAAATTATGCTAATGAAATAACGATATGCAACAACTAAAAAAATAATCGTCACGAACGAAGATGATATATAGTATAAATAATACTAATTAATTGATATTAAAATTGCATAGTCTGCATACGAGAGATCGTCATAGAAGCAAATGGAAAAAGCCTATGTCCAGAAATGTGTGCGTATAGACTGAAGAAGAAATTATGTTCAATAATAATAATTATAATCTTATTAGAAATATTTTTCTTATAAAAACATAGGAATATCATTCATTCACTCATTACTCTCCACTCTTAAATTGTTCTATTTTTCAAACACCTGTCTATTTATATCAGAGACTTATCTTCTCATTAATTTATCCGGGGCTTGATTGCCAAACTGTTTACAATGTTGTGTCCAACCATTATTATTATAATTGTTATTATTAATATAGTGTATTAACGAACTAGAGACATCGACGGCGAATCTTAGTCGCATTCTTATATAAACATATACATCAGCATAATAGAATCTCTACCGTGATCCCGGTTCTATACACTTTAATATAAACAAAGGGGGCCAAGCGTAAACATTCCCATTGATACTCCTATACCTTTACTCCAAATTCAAGTTCTTATTATAAACACATAATGATTGTTACACGTACAATCGTAATCGATCATCTTTTTCATATAAACAAATGCATAGGATTTTGTTCCGGTTTTATAATAAACAAAAACACCAAGGCCGAAACCCGTGGGAACGCTTGATCATCAATATATACAAGCCCTACTCCCAATCAGAACTCCCACCCCGTATTAATAAGAATTAACTTTGTAAGTAGAATAAATATTTAGAATTAGTCTCAGTAAAACCTTAATAAAACGAACATAGTCTTATAAGAATCTTAATATGATGTGCATAGTCTCAGATAAATCTTAAATCGACCAAGTAACGAATAAAAATATCTAAAACCAAACAAATTTAATTAAATTCCCAACTATTGAGACTCCACAACGATGGCAATATTATGCGATCGCACAACTCTTAGACAATATAATTTAATCATACATAATTATGAACATCCTTTCCTTATCAATTGATGCACAAAACAAATCAAAATATGCATTTTGAATTTGATCGCACTTTAGTTCAATAACGCAAAGGCAAGGCATAACAAGAATTGTGCTTAACGAGCAAAATAAAATATAAGAAAATGACACGCTTAACGAGCGACGTTTCACATAAAGAGTGATGTGGTGAAGTTCCGGATTGCGCGCCTGCTACATTATTTTTAAAAGTTTTGTACATATGTTATGTGTATTTTTGAATATATTAACTATTTTCGGTTGTTTTTGTAATCTTTATTTATAGCGGACGGAACGGATTATGCTCGTTAAGCGAGGTTCCACTATACCTGTATAAAAAAACCGAAATGGTAGCAGAAATAGGGTTGTAATTATTCACTTTGAGTATTCGTTGCATGGTTGATTTCGATATGTTCAGCTGAGCAGCCAGCTGCCTTTCGCTGAGTCGGGGATTTCGTTCAATTTTAGCCTTAACTTTCCGAACCACTTCTGTCGTAGATGCAGTTTTTTCCGACCACCACCATAGCGTTTTGCAACACTGCCAGTTTCGTTATAACGTGCTATGGTTCGATACACGAAAAAATTATTTACATTAAGGTGTTCGAGTGCTCTAACAATAGCCAAGATTGGTTTTCCGCTCAAATATAGGGCTATTTTGTTTTCAAAAAAAAAACTGAGACGCAAATACTTTTGCACGTTTGTAAACTATAAAATCGGCTATCATTAGGCGAAATAAATGACAGCGAAAGTTATAACCAGAGGAACATAGACGCTATGTTGCCCAATTGAACTGTAATCATCATAAAACCACTTAAAACAGATATATACAAAGTTGAAATTTAGCAGGAGTTTCTTGTTGCAAATAAAAAAAAACTATTGATATTAAAGAAAATATAAAGTTAAAAACATGTTAATTTTACCTCACATTAAGCCAAAAGTGTTTCAATATATGGGTAATCTATATATAGTATATATGTTTAAATATGACAAATCAATTTTTAGGTATATGTATTTTTAATGTTAATTCAAGACTTAAATTATACTACACTCAATGTTTATAATGAAGCTTGCACGTCAATTAATTATATTTGAAAATAAAATTTCGTTGTTCTATTAGTAAATGTATTATTGTAATTATATAAGTATTGTGTGCATTTAATCTCAATATAATTACTTAACCAACCGGAAAAGAAAATTACTTTGAGACACGAACCACGTTGAAAACAAAAACATATTTGAGTCTATATATCATATTAAATAATAGTCTTGTTTTTAATAAATATCAAAATGTTTGATCTTGAAACAATAACTAACTGACGTTTTGTTTAGTAAATAATGTAATATTAAAGTCAGGTTCAGAAAAATATTGACTACAAATATGTATAATTATAATTACGGAACCAAAAGTAAGTGATGTTAACCGTAAAAAAGTGAAAGTGATATTATTCCATGAGTAAAAAAAACTAAGTCTATCTATGATTGAATATCATATGTATAATGATTTATTTCGGAAAATATTATAGATCATTAGACACTGAGTTTCAATTTGTATAAAAATGGAATCACAAGTATCTATGAAATATTTACTTAGAAAAGTAGAAAAAAAGATAATACATGTTATTTTCAGTTTTGTTTTTATATATATAAATGATACATGTTGATGCACATATTTGAAAGTCATATTCAGTTTTGAATACATTAAATTAAATTACATTATAAATAGTATTTATTTTGCTTATAAAATGTAAATAAAACTTATTTGATATTTACGCTTATAAATGCATAAATAATGAAGGGTACCAAATAACAAAAAGAAAATTAATAACAGAATGGAATGGTATTAATTTTTTACTTCCTTTACGATCTTGTGTATTTGCCCCAGATGTGTAACATGAAGACAGATGCAATGAACAGAAGAGACATCACAAGAACTGGAACTGGACCACTGAAATATTTAAAAGAAGATATTAATGAATGAAATTTTGCAGATTGTAGTTTCTTAAATATTTTAAAGATGTTACAATATGGATAACAATTAAATCAGCTCATTAAATGTTAGGATTATAAATTTTATTATTTTTGTATTCAATTATGATTTAAGTTCTTCTCTGATAATATTAAGATCCATATGCTTCAAATAGTTGAAATAAAACATCCATATTTTACTTACACTTTGATTCCTGGGGAGTCATCAGTGTAGAACCTCCACATACCACCAGTGCTAGCTGCACCTGGATTGCGACTCCTAGCAGCTGTGGTGGTTGTGGTTTTCCTTTGCCTTACAGTGCCTCCAGCTGCAGACCTGGGGGCAGCAGCCTTTGAAGGAGACCTGGTGGATGCACCAACAGATGTTGAGCTTGCTGGAGCAGGCTATAATGGAGAAATATAAAAATCAATGAATGAAAATTAAATTCTTTAAGAGTAATAACTACGTACCATTGTGTTAAATTAAATTTAACTATATAGTATATTAGAATGAAACTTTGTCTCTTATGCACGTCCGCACTACTGCACAACTCAATTTATAATAATAGAAAAAGCTACGTGTGGCTTTCGCTGCGTTTCCACAAGCTGACACGTTGGCATACGTCACCACCAGTCACAGCAGTGTTGGCAGCGTTGGCAGTTCAACCAACTCTTGGCATTTACAGTTAGATATTTCGGCTTTGTTGACACGTTTGACCCCCACCAAAGCACACAAAAAGTAAACGAAAATAAATGGCATTTATAATTTTAGGGGAAAATTGCAAAATACATGCAAACCAAGTGATAATCGATGAACAGCATTCACTAGTGCTAGGGTTTTTCAGTTTGCATCATTGGCTGTATGAAACGATAAGAATTCGGTCAATTCGATTCAGTCTATTTTCGAATCTCTTACGTTGGTTACATTGTTGTTGTTATTTTGCGGTGGGATTATGTCCAACAGCCGACAAGAGTTGACAGGTGACATTTTGACATATGATAGTAATGATTGACATTTGGGAAAATTACTGAGTTGAAAAAACTCGAATTATGGTTTCAACCATGTATTATCTGACGAAGTTCTGTCGAATTTGCGTGAAATCCGACGAGAAATTGGTTGATTTACACAGTGCAGACTATGATTTAGTTAAATTCAGTGATAAATTGAAGCTATGCACAAACATGGTAATAAAATTTCTAAATAGATCAACTTTCTCTCTTACACTGCTATCATTCTTTTGTTCTAGGTTATCAGCAATCAAGACCTCTCGACAAGGATTTGTATGTCCTGTGTCAAAAAGCTGAGGGTCTCATATGTTTTTCAAAATATGTGCAGAAAATCTGACCAACTATTGCAGGGTTACTTGACAGAATTGATAGGTGTTGCAGATTTCCCAAAAGAGAAATTTGTTAATTCTGAACTCAAGATTGCTATCTCACCTATACCAAAAATCAAATTAGAAAACCAATTGAACTCAGAAATCACTGAGCCAAGTGACTATCCCATCAGTACAATGTAATTAACCACTTAAATTATTGAACTTTCTCTTATTGTTCTGTTCTGTTTTAGATCTAGAAGTATTATAACACACAGAGTTAAGAAAAAGAGGGTGAGTAAAGGCCAAAGGTGCAGTCTGTTGAAGAAGCTTCTATCTAATAAAAATAAGCATGAAACAAATTCTCAACAAACAAGTAAAAGCAAAGGAGGTTTGAAAGATCTGCTAGTGTTTATAAAAGATTATGATTTTGGTTACAAAATCTGTAACCCAACAAGGGATTTTAATGACATTACACCATTGGATAAACTGGAGGATTTCTCAAAAACATTCTTCTATACAGATTTTACTGACTATAGAGAGACAATATTATCTGTGATAAATGAGCATCAGTTTGAGTCCAGTGATGATGATGATATGTTTAATGCATTTGATGAGGAAGAAGACAAGAGATTGTGGAGCAAGGAAACCAAAAACTTTGAAGAACTGATAATAGAGCCAGACATCAAAATCAAAACAGAATTTACTGATGAGAGTGATTATGATTATCTGCCAACAGAGTTTGTGCAGACTTGCTATGATGAAGATGCTGTCTCTAAGCAAAGTGAGTTTGTAGACTTTGAAACTTACCTCACAAAAAGTCAATCAGTTCCTGAAAGACAGGAGGTGGTATCTACAATAAACAACAATAGGCTAATGGGTCCGTCCAGCTTGGATCTGCTGCAACAGTTCACAAGCAGAAAAGGTAAAACAATCTCTCCAAATAGCTTAAAGTGCAGAACAAGAGGGCAACCTTTCATCAATCCTCAACTCATGGAGCAGTTCAAGAAGCGCAGTTTTAAATGCAAAATGTGCAACAGAAGCTTTAAAAGTCCCGGTTATTTGCATTCGCATTGCACGAAAATGGGACATTAATATTAGTTTAAATATTTATTTATTTTATTCGAAATTATATGTAGGAGAATATGGTTTATTGTGCAATATTGTAAATCTTACTAATTTAATAATTTGATCTTGTAGAGTACAAATAATTTAATCATGTTCCTCAAAGCTATATTTTATTTATAATATTAATTCTATCAGCTTGTGATATAGGCAATCAAAATTTATCGAAACGATCAAAGCCAAACGTTTAATGGAATTTAGCTGAAACTGTCTTTGTTTACTGTATATCTTTGAGGGAACATAATTGTGCCAATTTGCGCAATTAAAAATATATATAAAATCTAACTTTGCATAAAGTACAAAAGAAAAAAAAGATGTAAAGTTATTGTTTTGTTTCTTTTATTTGTTGCTAAAAGTGATAGTTGTTAAGTGCACTGTATAAAATACAAACACAATTAAAATGAATTAAGAAAATAAGAAAAAATCGAAATAAGATTTAGATTTGTTATATGAGACTGTCCAATGTAACTTCAAATTATTGTAAATAAGTATTTTGATTTTTTAGTGGCTACATCAATTGATTTTTTGTAGAATACTGTTATTAATATATATATAATGCGGATTTATTGCTGCGCATCTTGGAAATTTTTAAACGTGTTTCTCTGTGACTATTATATTTAGTCAAATGTATATGTCTATAGTAACTTAGATATATATTAAACTACTATTATATAATATTCAACAAATGTGCGAAGTTATTGTGAACAGTAATTTGCTTGGAAATAAGTGATGTTTTTTTTTTCTTTTTTTATGGGATATGTTTGGGTCTGGGTTGAGCGTTGTCTAAATTTAATTAGAAATTCGGGATAAATAAACATGACAAGTGAATCGATTTTATATAAATAACTTTGGCATTAAGTTACTTTATGTAATTCAATGTAGTATGAATCTTTGTAAAACAATTTTAACAGTATTGTACCATTGCCAATCGAATTTATTAAGACGTAAGTTTTAGATTGTAAGCGACCATTTCCATTTCTAAATTATTTTTTTTGTATATGCATTAGTGATAAATAATTCAATCTATTGTAATGTTATTTTATTTTATATGTTTTTAAATTATATATAAATTGGTTATATTTATACTTTTCTTTTATCACGTTAAAATAAAAACCAAGTGTTTGGCTTTAACTTGTGAACATTAATAAATATTAGTTTTTTTGTTTGAATATATAAAATTTTATGGAACACTGACCCTAGTTTACTTTCTAATTATAATCATTTTTTTATGTTTTATAAGTATTAAAGTAAATCTGCCCAAACTTAAGTATTTTAAAAATTGGCGGCAAAATAGTGTCGATGATGACCGATGCATTTTGAAGTTTGGAGCCGATCGCTGGCGGAAGATTCAAGTACATAAATAAATGTTGGTTTTGTTTTTTTGTGATGTTTTCCATTTGAGTTTGTTTTGTATATTGAGACTTTTCGGCGATGGAGATCTCGATTGTTGTTGGAAATAACCCAGGTGCCCCGAGGACCACGAGGGTTATGATGGAAGGCGTTGGGGCCCGTGTTATTCGGGGGCCTGGATGGAAATGGGGAAAACAGGTTAGGTTCCCATAAAACAGATAGTTTGTTGTTGCAGGGGATTTGCACTTTCTTATTTCTAATTGTACCTTATAATTGTTTACAATCATACAACTAACATTACATTTCTCTATTATTGTTACCTCCAGTAAATATTGGTATCAATGTATGAATGATGAAAGATTAAGAAAAATGTTATTAAATTAATTGTTGTATATATTTCATGAAACTTTATGATCACTTATTAAGTAATGAGTGAGTTCTGCTACGAGGCTCAGTTGATATAACATTACATCATGTATAATATAGAAAATGTAGAAAATTTTATTTTCATTTAGTATCGTAAATACTAACTATAATTTACTATTGACAATATTTGAAATGTTCCTTGTACATACAAGATAATAGTTTATTGGTGACAAAATACATTTTAATTTAGCGGTTATAATATTCATCACTCATATATACTATTGCAGTTGAAGGTGTTAGCTATTTTTAGTGTTGCCAATTACCAAATGTAAACAATAAAGTAACAACAAATGTGAATAATGTATATAAGCTTCAATTATTGTTTAACTTATTTTCATTAAATGTGATATATCATTTTTGCTTAATTTTAGGATCATTATGAATTATATAATTGTACATTTGATGTATAGATTATCTGTATTAAATGTAGACTGAAGCCATAGACTTTAATTAATAAAAATTAATTTTTGGTGTATGTATTTATTTTTATAGATGATTGCAATAAATATTGTTAGGTGGGAAAGCTGAGACTAATTGTATAAATTATTGTTATTATTATAAAATAATAAAAGAAAAATTAAATTTGAATAGTTTCAATAAAATAAAACGTTTGTCCACTTGTTTTATTTGTTTTTGAACCAAATTATTAATATAAAGATGTACATGTATATTTTTTAATTAAGAAAATATGAAAGTTTTTAAATAGATTTTTAAAACTTTCATTTGTTTACTTTATTATAATAATAATAACTTTGAAAATTTGATTCATAGAATGTTTCTAATTTTATCTAAATTTCTAATTTTCTAGTAAATTAAAATAACAAAGGATACATATATCTAAATAATCTAACTGAGTAAATAGAAAATAATAACAACAGTACAATATAATACTAGATAATTTAAATCTATCTAAAACCCAGTTTATAAAACATAAGTATTATTATTTAAATAATAACAATAACAGTTACATATAAAAATTACTTATTTAATCATATTAAAGACAAAACGATTGATAAGTACAAATGCTTTTATCATTGAAATTATTTTTATCTATAGTTAAAATACTATATACAGCGTTATAAAAATCATAGATCCAATAATCAGTAATTAATTACAGTAGGATTAAAATCTTTTTGCATGTATTGTATTATAATATTAATATTTGTAATTTTTTTTTTAGGATGGCGGTGAAGGTCATGTTGGAACAGTACGCAACTTTGAGAGTCCAGATGAAGTTGTGGTTGTATGGGATAATGGAACGGCAGCCAATTATCGTTGTTCAGGTCAATACGATTTACGTATCATAGATAGCGCACCGACCGGGGTGAAACATGAGGGAACCATGTGTGATACTTGCAGACAGCAGCCTATCTTTGGCATCCGTTGGAAATGTGCCGAATGTGCTAACTATGATTTATGTTCGGTATGCTACCATGGAGATAAGCATCACCTGCGCCACAGGTTCTACCGAATAACGACGCCGGGCAGCGAAAGGATATTCCTTGACACGCGACGAAAGAGTAAGAAGATCGCGATTAGAGGCATTTTCCCAGGGGCAAGGGTGGTGCGTGGCGTGGATTGGCAGTGGGAGGATCAGGATGGAGGAAATGGACGTCGCGGAAAGGTCCAGGATCTCCAAGATTGGTCTGCTGCCAGTCCAAGATCTGCTGCTTACATCGTATGGGATAATGGCTCCAAGAATCTGTACCGTGTCGGTTTTGAAGGAATGGCCGATCTGAAAGTTGTCAATGATGCGAAAGGCCAGACCGTGTATCGTGATCATTTGCCGTGCTTGGGCGAGCAGGGCCCAGGCCATACAGGTCCACCAGGCTTGAAAATTGGAGATAAAGTTAATATAGATTTAGAAATAGAAATTGTGCAATCTTTGCAACACGGTCATGGCGGATGGACTGACGGGATGTATGAATGCTTGAATAGCATCGGCACCGTCGTCGGAATTGACGAGGATCACGACATCGTAGTTGTTTATGATACGGGAAACCGTTGGACTTTTAATCCAGCTGTTTTAACAAAAGTTGTCACGCCCACGAATGGCGCAGGTTACAACGAAACGCCCCAACAGCAGTTTGCCGTAGGTGATGTGGTACAGATTTGCTCAGATTTGGAGAGAATTAAAATGTTGCAGAGGGGCCATGGAGAATGGGCAGATGGAATGACACCTGTTAGTACAAACTATATTCACGTTGATCCTCATTTAGCATTATTCTAATTTTCTTTCTGTTTGCAGACTCTTGGGAAGATCGGCCACATCCAACAGATATATAATGATAACGATTTGAAAGTTGAGGTTTGCAACACCACTTGGACTTACAATCCATTAGCAGTTACCAGACTTGCTAGTAAAGATGGGACAATGCACAGCGCTACCAGCGGAGAACGTTTAAACGCATTGTTAAAGAAGCTGTTTGAAACTCACGTCTCCGGCGATGTAAATGAAGAGTTAGTTAAATCGGCTGCAAATGGAGACGCCCAGAAATGCGAGGAAGTTCTGAAGCAGAGTAATACAGCCGGAGCTGGTATCGGACCCGATGTGAACGGCGTATTTGCTGGCCATACAGCTCTTCAAGCTGCAAGCCAAAATGGTCATTTAGAAGTCATAACAGTTCTTCTACGATTCCAAGCTGATGTTGAGATAGAGGATACGGACGGCGATAGGGCTGTACATCACGCTGCCTTCGGAGATGAGCCAGGCGTTATGCAACTTCTCGCACACGCCGGGGCAGATTTAAACGCCAGGAACAAACGCAGACAAACTGCTTTGCATATCGGGGTCAATAAGGGACACATTGGAGTGGTTAAGATGCTTCTGGATCTAGGATGCCATCCAAGTTTGCAGGTCAGATTTTTTTTTTATTTTGAATACAATTTATAGACTTCAACTTTTTAAAATATTTAATCTTCTTGATTACAAAGGATTAAGAACAAAAAAGTGCGGCAAAACTGTGTCTACAATCTTGTTTGCTAAGATTTTAATGAAATATGACTAACGCGCTCTTTAACATATTAAAAATGTTTCCACTAGAGCATTTTCATATTTTATAATGCACTTCCTGCGAAATGGACAAATTAAATCAGGATTCACCTTGCATTACATTTACAGGTGACATATTTTATTTTCTGTCTGGATGAAATATACGTAAGAATATCATTCTTTTCTGTATACATTAATTAAAAAACAAATGGTTTATTTAATAATGAATAAAAGTGTTCTCAAATAACACTAAATCTGTAAAGTATTTGTATGTTTTGCCAAAATGTTATAGTACTACACTTTGAAGTGTACAAAACGTAATTGAATTATTTTGTTTTGTTATAAATTTTGATTTAAAACAGCAGTTTCAGTTTAATACATTTCCCATAATAGAATAAATAATCTTTTACGGTAAAATGATTCCAAAGATACGCTAATCCTACCAACGTATTTATTACATTATGTTAGTGTAAAGTGGGTGTAAAATGGATAATTATATTGCATATATCTTAACGTTGACAAAATGTTAGATAATATGCAATACTTGTTACTGATATAAACCTATTTTTTTTCCTAAAATCCGAATGGTACTAGTATCTATGATTTTTATTGCTCATAAATATTGTCGTTTCCTTTTAAATTAATTAGATATATGAAAATAATAACTGAACAATAAGTTTTGATATGTTTTATTTAACGAGTTTTATATATAGTTTTTAAAGGTATTTGAATTATATTTAATTCATATTAATGAAGTGATTGACCTGGAACTGTATATTCTTCATAATTAATAGTTTTTACTCCTAAATTCTCAAAAGCACTGTTGAAACGGGATATGGTATGATCAACTCTTCTTTGGCCATTTGTAATTTGAATTTAAATGGTGACTGCTGGTCACTAATTAATATGAGCTGGGATATAAAGCGAACGGAAAAAATATTTAATGTTTTGTTCTCATTCGTTGCGGTTGGCACATGGCAAATAGGAATTAATTTACGTTTTGCAGATAATGTAATTAAAGGCTACGGAACGTCCAGGCTGCCTTCTGACTACTTAGTTATATATATTTTTTTTCTATGTTTTCTCTCGTCTCAGTCCGAGGGGGGCAGGGTATAAAGTAAATTTGTGTAATCGTTCGAGGTGGGATAAAAAAGCACTTAAGTAACCGAAGTTAATTAAAAAAGGGACCCCTGTTTTTCTCTCGCATGAGGAATGTCGTCAAATGACAAAAACAAAACGGAGAGAGAGAGAGAGAGCATTGTCTGTCTCTGCATAAAGAAAAGGGAGACTGTCTCGCATATAAAAAGTCTTGTGGAGCAGTCAGGGCTGTTGGATTCTTGAAATAATACGAGTGTTAATATCGCCTCGCTTATATTTTAACAAGTGTCTATTGCTCCTTACTTTCCACTTTTTTTTTGCTAATGTTTGACATATTGATTAATAATTATTTGCGAAGCGTGGTATAAGAGAAAAAATTATGTAAATGCGGCAAATTTCACTGGCGGGCGGTTGAAGCCGCCTCCCCTATTATAAGTTGTAAGTGGCGCGCAATCAATTACTGTCACTTTTCAGCGACCCCGTTAAAAAGCTTCGGCTTCTATTATAACTTTCCGAAAACTCGAACCTTCCCCGCGAAAATAATGTAAAAAAAGGAGGGGGGCGGCCGAGGGCACCGACGGCGCCACCACCGAATTTATATACATAAGTATTACAACAATTTATAATGGTCTAAAAACTTTTTCTTTACGGTAAGCGTTTTATTTTAGTGTTCCCGATCTTCAGGATCAGTTTGACTTTTGAGACTCTGAAATTGCCGTCACTAAGTTTGATGTGTTTCCTCCCTGCTCGTTCCGCCAATTTGTTTATCATGTTTTTCCTTCTTTCATGCCATTTTTTCGCTACTAAATGTGTTTTAAAGGTGAAAATTACACTAAACACGGTGTAGTTTTCATTTTTAAACATTTTTTTGTTACGTATTTGTTAATTATTTTATATTTATATTATATGATTGTAGTTCTCATAGTTACAATATTTAATTTAATTATCATATAAAAAGATTGATATTATCTAGTCTTATTTTTAAAGTTTGTCTGTTTAAAACTAGTCATATGGTTTCTACACTATATATTAGTTAATTGATTCTACAATTGAATATTTAGGTAAATGATTGTAACATTACGTTATACATTAATTCAGTGTATACGGATGTTGTTTTTGAATGTTTTTATAAAAAAATTGTTGGAGGGTGGAAGTCGGAGAGAAGTAATTTTAGAAATCGATGTTGAAGTGAATTATGTGGCGCTTTTTCTTTCATGTTCATGGTAGATATATAACTTTTATTGTTTCTGTGTCATTTGATGTGATGGAATTGGATTTGGGGATGTATGCAAATGCAGCAGCGCGAGCTGTTCAGAAAACACTCCCAGTAGGATTAATAAATAGATATATAGAATGTGGAAGTTCTCCCTGAACTTATAATAAACAGGATCCAAGTGAAGTAATTTAGTCCCGAAATGTGCCGTAATGCTTGGCATTAATTCCGGTTAACGTCTTTGTAAATCACCATTATATAGTGACATAGTTTGGAGTTCAACTGCACTTTTAAAACTCCTCTCCACCACCATCCAAGGATAGGGGCACTCGCACCAGTTCACATGTGTGTACATCTCCTCGATCGCAGTCGTCCAATTGGCATACTGCTGGAATTCGCTTTATCACTGTTTAACTGCTCGTAAAAAAAGTGAACGTATGCCATATGATGTTCCATCGTGACAAAGGCATCCCTTTGTGCATCATTTTCCAACTCCCCTACTCATCCTGACATCATATCTCTTCTCTTTTTACATGGACGCACGATGTTCTATGTCGAAATGGAAATTAATGTTATTCAGAACTCGCAGGTCAATGGCTTTCTATTTTATACTATTATTCTCTTTTATTTTGCTCTGCTGTTTTGTTCATTGCGAGGACCGATGGTGGTGGTGCCACCCCAGTTTTTCCTTCATCGTTCACCATTTTCGAAATGCCGCCGGCGAACGTGGCGTTGCTCTAAAATGCAAATGAATACTAATTATTTTAAAGTACTTCGCACTTCCACCGCATTTCGATGTAATAAATTCACAAAGTGTAACATTTAATGCATGTTTTATGCATGCTAATTAGCATTTAGAAGTTCCGTATTTTAAACAAACGACTTTACCGTATCGCACAAAAATGCTGAAAAATAACGTGCGCTCCTTGATTAATAATTCATAATTCGACATAAATCATACGTTTTGCCAGATATTGCATTCCAGCATTCGTCATGAATATATAATACTTGTAAAATGTAACTCGTATTCTTAATAAATTCAAATTATATTTAAACATCTCCATTCAAAAAAATACATTTTCATACAATAATATTAAATAGGATCAACATTTAATTTTTTTAATATAACATTTTTTTTCCAATTGTATTCAACTCTTCCAAATATTCTAAAATCTATAATTGCATTTATTTGAATAATTAGTCTAATTAAAATTATATTATAAAAGTCTCACTAATCATTTTTGTTATTTTTACTATATTTATCTTATATAAATAATTAAATTATTTTATTTTGACAAATAGAATTATAATGTTATCAAGTGTTTAGTAATTTGTTTCAATAAATTATTTAATATCCAGTTGATCTTCGAGAAGTTACGTTATTTTATATAAATTCAATTCATTTTTAATGAAAGAAGTGATAAAAATATTTTATCATTTATAAATTTGAAACAAAGTATTTTTGTACTGATTTAATATAATAATTAGTGAAATGTTTAAGTATTAATTATTATGTTGTAAGTATTTCTTGAAATAGATCCACTATTTTATTATATATCATATATTTGCGCGTTTGTGCAATATTCTCTTGAAATTTTATTCATAACATTAATCGCAGAGTGCTTTTACTCAGTAAAACTGATTCTGAAATGAAAGTTGCAAAAAAGAGGAATTTATATATTGCATTATATTTATTGTAGGTCATAACTAATGCACTGTTGACTGGATTGTAATTTAATCCTTGGGAGACCACCCGTTTTTACGAGCATAACTTTGTATTGAATTTAATGATGGTATAGGTTCGAAATTTTATCATTATCCTCTATCGCATTATCGTGCATAATTCACACATAATAATTATCATTTTCCAATTATTACGAACTGCACATTGCAAAATTATTATTCCAGTTTAACGGGCGGAGGCCGAAATGGCGTCGCCCAATTGCGTTTCACGTTGTAATATTATCCATATCCAGTACTACGTCGAGGCAATGAACAAAACGTGTTGCTGTAAACTAACTCATTTTTAATTTAACGCGATTTTAATCGGCGACAAATGGTGTACAACACCGTCCCATATTTCCTCGTTGATCATGGGGTCTCTCGCTCTATTTTTTTTTTTCATTTTGGTGCTTTTATTTTTTTTAGGCGCTGTACGTACGTTTTTCATTTTTGCGCATCCATTGTTCGGAAGGTTTTGTGTGTTTGAGTCCAAAGGAAATTGAAACTGGAAGATTTTAATTAGATACGTTGGAGTTTGCGTTGTTTTTAGGGGGCGGAACCAGGAGGGGGTCTGTGCTTGGAATAGGCCATAACTCTTTTGCACGTTGCGCAATTAAAGCCGTTTTGCATTTTATCTCCCTAATTGCATCCCCATACGTGTGGATTGAAATTTTGCTTGGCAATAAGAAGCTTCTACCTCCCTTCGCTCTTTGCTCTTTCGCACTTTCTCTATCGCTCTTCCTCTTACTGACACACGCTAGTGGTTGTATGAATTATATGGAAGTTGTTCTGGCGGTGACAGGGATTACAGAGAGATTTCCTTCCCGCCCTT